AGGCTGCGTATGCAGCAGGCGTGGGTGGGTGGGGACTTGCAGCGTCGGGGACTTGCGTGAAACTCGTGTCCCCAGCCCAGCGCCGGGCCCAGGGACATGAGGCTACGCCCCCTGAGGCCACCCCCCCCACCCCAGCTCCAGGACATGAGGCTGCATCCCCCGCCTGGCGGGGCTTGACGGGGGTGGGGCCGGCCGGGTCTTGGTGTCGCCCAATGGGGGTGGGGCCAGCCGGACACTTCTATTATAGAGAAAGGGCAAATAGCAATATTAAAATATTTCCTCTAATGAATTCCCTTTTAATGAGCACGAATTTCGTGCACCAGGCCACTAGTAGGTATATATTACTTCTATAAACAGAAGCATAAACATGTTCTTTAAGAGTTTAAATAAGCAGGCTTCAACAAAATCACATAGGCAGGCCCCTTCCTGTCAGCCCACCCACATGCTCAGGGCAGTTTACAGAACAGGAGGTCTGCCCAGGTGTCTCCCATCACGTTTTCACCAGAAACCGGCGCACAAGGAGGCCGGTGCTCGCTTACCTGGTGCTGGGTCTTACTCTCCATGTGCCCCAGCTTCGTATTCATCTTATCCTGAACCGATCCCAGCTCCGCTTTGATCTCCTCCACAGTCGCCTCCAACTGATTCTCCAGCTTGTTGATTAGGGGTTCACATCGACAGCCATTTATTGGTGCCTAAGAGGGAAACAAAAAAGGAATTGATCCAACTCATCTGGATCCTTCAAAACTGAGTTCTGGGTGCCCATCATGTGCCAGCCAGCACAGCAGGGGGTGCCGAGATGGAGACAGGCTCAGCCCTGTCCTTACTGCAGAAGGTCCCACAGGCCCAGTGTTGGGTCCAGGAGGACCCAGGAAGAATCAGAGGGGGTAACAGAGTCCCAGGCTGCTTTTATCCTCTGGGCCCTCAAGATTATCTAGTCACCTAGGGACCGTGCAGAAAGATCTGTAACCACCCCTGTCTGCCTGGGCCTAAGCAACAGGAGGGTCTCAGTGTTTAGGTGGGGCGGGCCACCTGCCTTCTCCTTAAAGCTCATACCCACTTAAGCCAATGCCTAAAGTGGACATTAGCCCCCAGATATGGTGCTCAACAGGCACCCTGCTGCAGGCCATGGTCTCACGTCCGACGGGGCTCGGCAGGTACCTGCATCACTTTCCCGTCCTTGCCCCGGTACAGCGTGTAGAGCTGGTACGCTCTGAACTCATGGGGAGGGGGTGGGGGTGAACATCGATGCTTGGGCCTCTTTTTCGGGTGATTATGAACATGTAAATTCTTCTGGTGTCCAGGCTGCTGGTCTGCAGGTGGGGTGGGGTCGGAAAATGCTGACACCTGCGGGAGAGGAAGAGACAGCACCCTCAACACTGTGACAACCGCAAGACTGACCCCTGGCCCGCGGCTCCATCTCACCCACTTTTGGGCAGAGAACCCCGCCCGGCTTCGTCTCATGGCGTTCTACTCCAAGCACCACATTTCAAAGAAATGCATCAGCAAGCTAACCTGTGCCTGCCGCTAACCAGATTTAATGTCTGCTCTGGCTCCAAACCAGCCAGCGAGGGAAGGCGCCTTTTGGCCGTTGGGCATGAGGCTGTCCCAGGGCCCTGTCACCGGCTCCCAGCCATCTCTGGGCGGCTTTCACGTGCCTCCTGACCTTGGGCCTTGACTTTCTCCTCCTGTTGTCCTTTGCTCGGGGCTCTGGGGAGGCCGACAGGAAATCTTCTCTGGCCTCTTCTTTTCTGGGTGCAGCCTGGTCACTGCTAGGGGTGTCTCCTGCCGAGACACTTCCCTACAGAGAAAGAGAGCCCAGAAACAGGTTCTACTCGCCCCCTTGGCCTTTTTCAATAATGCTGTAAGATTCTCTTTGCAGGACTCCATCCACCACAGGACCCACGGGAACCTTTGCCGATGACAAATTTCAGACACAGGGCACTGCTTGGTGGTCTTCACCGGCCACGTGCGCTTTTCCCAGGCAGCTGAACGTTTGGCTTTTACTTTATTTATTAGGTGTCAAACTAAACACTCTCAGATCTGATTCAACGTGAACTTCAAGAATCTCAGCATTGGAGATTTCTGTTCTTTTACATCTCAACAAAACACCCCCGCCCCCATTCTTTGCACGTGGATCCTCAAATCATAGCAGAGAGAACCCTCTGAAATGGAAAAAAAATGTTTCTGGTCCTTGTGAGAACTTTTATAAAGTAATATTTACAACCAAAACAGGAGAAGAATGAGTACTTGGTATAAAACTTTACGTGCCCCAAGTTCTCTCTCTCCTAGTCTTCCTCCTGGGAGTGGCCCAGTCCAGGGCTGCCGTGTGTAGTAGTGCGAGCTGCGAGCTGCACACGGGCACCTGGCAAGGGGTTAAGTGGGCACTGGGAACTAAAATCCAACTCAGACCCTAGTCACCATATGCGTCCCTGCTGCCCAGAGAGCATCTTTTTCTAATTTGCACAGCCTCAGCCCACGGCCTAAGCGGACAGAGAGGAAGCAGCCTTTGCCAGTGGTTCTCAATATTTGATCACATCAGAGCCCCCGGGAGGACTGTTCAACAGATCGCTGGGCCCCAGCCAGAATTTCTGATCCAGTGGCTCTGAGGGGAGGCCCCACACTCAGAAAAGCCCTGCTCCACACGACTACGGGCGCAGTGACAGAGGCAGTGCTGGCCACAGGGTAGCGCAAGGCCACAGACACACGGGCTAGTGACCAGCATGTGACGGTGCTGGGAAGTAAGGGCAGCACACACGCAGGAAATCCAGGAGGAGTGGAGGACGCGAAGCCAAGGGAACAGACTGGCAATAGTCTGAGGGACCCCAGCGAAAGGAAGAGACCAGAGGACATGGCAGCCGCCAGATGAACCCGGGGTCGGCAGTTCCCACCCCGAGAGCAGCTGGAGCTGGGGAGGGCGGAAGGGCTACCCCCACCTTGCTTTGTGCCACCTCATCTCTTGGCACAGACTGAGCTCTCCTCTCTTCCTTGAGCCTCTCTCTCTTTTTCCTCAGACTTCGCCCACGACTGAAGCGCAAGACCTGAAGGAGGCAAGAGGCATCGTTACAACCGGTGCAGCACAGGCAAGAGAGGATTCTCCTGGGACCTGGCGCTCTGACCTACAGGAACTTCCAGCCCAACAGGGAGACCAAGCGTTCACATCGACCACCTCAGACCTCCTGCAATGCCTCCTGCTGGGCGCTTTACAGACCCAGAGCTGGACACTGTCCCTGACCTCAAGCAGCTTCCAGTCTATGACAGTAACAGGCATCTGTGTGCCAGGCCAGGGCCACCACGTCGGTGTGCAGGCTGTGCACTGCCAACCTCCAGAGAGCACACTCACACAGGCGAGAGACGGGGATATGAGTGGCGCCCCCTGGAACTGTGCAGTGCAGCAGTCCTAGGCCGGCACAGCCTCACTCACTAGCTTCGTACACTGGACCCAAACTACCCATCAGATTTTCTCTTGGTCAAACCATATCCAAGTCATGTATTTGATTCAATAATATTGAGATACATCTATGATCCATGGTACCCACCATGGGGCAGGAACCTCTTCCCCAAAAGGAAGCATTTGGTCGGCCCCTTAGAGAGGGGAAATGGACACAGGCAGGTACATGGAGTCCGACAGGCCCAGGGATGGTACCCAGCAGCTGTAGAGTCTCTGGGTAAGTCATCTGACACCTCTGTGCTCTATCTTCTCAAACGTAAACACAGGAAGAGTTGCTGGGATTGACCAAGACAAAGGAGGTGGCTGGCGCACCTCGGACCCTCAGTCACTGTCGGCTGCCTCCACGCCCAGAGGATGCTTAACCAGAGTACAGATGGAGACCAGCACTGGCCCAGCTCCACGCCCTGCCCCCAGCCCCTACTCCCACTTCCAGGGTTCACCTCCTTTCACCAAGGAGGTCCAGAAGGTGGAAACACTTTTCAAAGTCACACTGTCTTTCTGCAATAAACATGTTATTGTTCTCTTATATAAACAGACAAGGGCTCTCTGAAGTTCCCCAAAGTATTTTTCATCTCAGTTTCAGACTTTCTTCTCCTGTTCATATGTTCAAGTGACACCATGACAACAAAAAGAACCTTTATGGGCAGTGGGTATCACATAAAAGGAAAACCCCTGACAATACCTGCCTGCAGATAAACCTCATTTTAAAACCCTCTTCTCACCCCCTGAGCCAGCAGTTCTGAAAGTCTAGGGACCCCTGGGCCATGAGATTAAGACTTTTTCTAATATGAAGATGATGTGGCCCTTTTCACTCTCACACTCTCCAGGGTGCACAGGGGCATTTACCAGGGGCTGCATACGTGGTAATGCAGCAGACAGCGGGCAGAAATCAATGAACCTGCTACCTTCTAAATAAGATGGACAGTAAGAGATCTGCACAAATGTAAAACAATGCTGCTCTTCTTAATTTTTGTTCTGAAAGATATTTTTTTCACAAGATAATGCTATTTCTACTAACCCAAAATGGACTTCTAATTTGTAAATTAATAAACACCTTTAATATTTCTCAAGTTTAATAATTTGAATTATGATAACTACTGATGAATAAAATTTACATAAACAAAGCTCCTTGTTGCCTCCAAAATATTTTAAAAGTGTCCTTAAACCAAAAGTCTGACAACCACTGTCCTGAGCCGTTTCTAAAGCTACGTTTAGAATAATTAAAAGTTGAGTCTGATAAAAGGAAGCGACTCATTTAATGGACACTTACAACAGGATACAGTACCAGGTTCTGCCTGAAGTTCACTCTCAGAAGCACTATTGAACCATGTCAATCAAAAATGAGAAATGAGCCCTGACTGGTTTGGCTCAGTGATAGAGCGTCGGCCTGAAGGGTCCCAGGTTCGATCCCGGTTAAGGGCATGTACCTTGGTTGCCGGCACATCCCCAGTAGGAGGTGTGCAGGAGGCAGCTGAACAATGTTTCTATCTCATCGATGTTTCTAACTCTCTATCCCTCTCCCTTCCTCTCTGTAAAAAATCAATAAAATATATTTTTTTAAAAATGAGAAATGACACTCAGAGGTCACCCAAGCTAAAAATAATCACCAGAAAAAATCCCTCCATAGACCATGTTACCAGCCATTGAAAAATCATGTATCCACCAAATGAAATATCAATCTTTTCCCAATTCACAGAAATCAGGGAATATTGATCTAAAGGCTTGGAAAGAAACATCCTTGGTTCTGCTGTGAACCATCAAAATCCATGGCCGACTAAGGCTCCAAGGCACAGGGATTTCTTATTTCAGACAAAACAAACAGGAAGGCTATTTCTGTAACAACAGAACAGCAGGCATATAATTTTATGCATATTCCAAAGTTCCTTCTTTGTGTTGAGAATAGGGTTTAGCATGTACAATTATATAAAATAAACTTTCAAAAAATGTCATCCTATATGCTATTCAATGTGGGCGTGGAAAAACTTGCTTAAGCCGTTTTTTGTTTTGTTTTGTAAATATATTCCTGCATGCCTCACACTGGGGAATCGAGCCTACAACCCGGGCATGTGCCCTGACCAGGAATCAAACCGTGACCTCCTGGTTCATAGGACAACACTCAACCACTGAGCCACGCCGGCTGGGCGCGTGAGTCGTTTTTAACTGGAAACACTAAAGGAGAACTGCACAGGAAAACCGTCTGTGGATGAAGATCCTTGGGCTCCGGAAGAACAGCTGGGTCAAAGGCCCATCAGCCTCTGGGTGCCTGGGATCATCCACCCACAATACTTGATGAACTTCAGGTGGCTGAGCCACACGCTGGCTGTCCATCAAATTGCCAAACATGGAAATGCCAGATAATTGTGATGAATTCTGATAATTGTGATGAAAAGCACGTAGCACTTGTGCTTTTTAGCCAGTGGAATTAGTCCAGGGTTCATGAACTGACTCCACTGACGAATTCTTTGTAAATAACTAGAGAGAAGTGCAGCCTTTTCGCAAGGAGCGCTGACTTGCACCTGCCCGGGGCTCTGTGCACCTCCAGGGACCACTGAGAAGGACCAACTCCACCCACAAGAGGGTGATCAACTTTGCAAAAGACAAAAACATTAACCTATTCCAGAAGCTGCTTCTATCAGGCATGTTTTTAAAAGTTAAATGCAACAGGGCCGTGCGGAACCCTGGGCTGGCTGGGATTGAGCCACGAGGCAGCAGGCTGGTGTCCAGGCCTCCTCGGCTCCCTGACATGTACCTTCTTGCAGCAGTAGTCAGTGCGCGGTGGAAAGCAAATCAGCGTTTACTATACTGTAACACAGAATAGCTCCAACTGGGAAATAACCTAAATGTCCTATGTTAAGGAAATGGTTTAACAAAACAGAGACAGCAATAAAAAATAATACTGTGCCTCCATTAAGATGAATAAGTGTGCTGACTGCAGAGCATTTTCCTATTACAGTCAGAATAGAGGGCACACTACAAAAGGTGCATACATTGTAGGCACAATTATGTAAAAATTACGTCAGTGGAAGGTAATATGAAGAAACAAAAGTTATTTTGGGGTGCTGAAATTATGACTCGCTTATAAATTATCACTATAAAATTTCTTTATTAAATAATTTCAACCTCAACTCAAATGATATGTCATCTTTTTTTTTTTTAATTGACTGATTACCAAAATACCACTCTTCCTTAAAAAGAAAATGATACCGTACTTAACTGCCTCTAGGTCAGTGGCTCTCAACCTTCTGGCCCTTTAAATACAGTTCCTCATGTTGTGACCCAACCATACAATTATTTTCTTTGCTACTTCATAACTGTAATGTTGCTACTGTTATGAATCGTAATGTAAATATCTGATATGCAGGATGGTCCTAGGCGACCCCTGTGAAAGGGTCGTTCGACCGCCAAAGGGGTCGCGACCCACAGGTTGAGAACCGCTGCTCTAAGTAGACATTTGCTGCTTTGTCTGCTCAGAATGGGCCCCTCCTCCCACTTCTCTCTAGAAAACGCCCCTGGACCACATGGTCCCATGGATGTGGCCATGTTCCTAAAGCCCCTGCCACACTTGCTCAGGGTACTTGCCCCAAGGTCTCCGGCGATGTTTTAAACTGGAACTTTTTCCTGGCTGAGTACCCAGGGAGTTATAATCCAGGAAGCTGGTGGAGACAAAATCATGCCCATCCACGAAGAACAGCCTGCTGGGCCTGAAGTCCTGGTGCTGGTTACCCCGGAGGCCCACCTGGGTCCCCACGTTTCCCACGGCCTGGTTAGTGAGCCCCTGTTTAAGTCCGTTTGAACTGGCTTCAGTACACTGCAACCAGAGACTCCCAGTGACTTTGTAGCCCCACATAATCCATGCAGCAGAAAATGCAGGAAGTCCTACCTGGGGAGCTTTAGTGAGGAGAAGAGCAACTTCCGGATTATTGTGGTAGCGGGCGGTCTCCAGCGGGGTCTGGCCTGCCTGAGGAAGGGCACAGGGGGGACAAGTGAGCACTGGCCACCAACCCCGCACGCACGTAGCCCACCTGGGACAGCAACCCTGCACTCAGTCACACCAGCACCGAAACACACACACGACGTGGCCCTGCTCTTCAGCCTCCTCCCAACAAGGGAGCCAAGTTCCACCTGAGGCCGCAGCAAGAGAGGGTAAGTGCTGACCCCATGGGCAGTGTGTGCTCCGGGAGGCCAGGGTCAGGGGCACTGCCCGCCTCGGAATGTTTTCTGGAAGGTGAAAAGCAGACAGGGCCAAGGTGGAAGATTTCAGTTGGGGAAACTCAAAGGATCATAAAATCCAGCCAAGCAATGACACGTCCCTGGAGAACAGGAAAGAAGATACCTGGACGGGCAGGTGCGGGCCCAGCCAGAGTCTCAGGAACTGGATTGCGAAAACAAATGAGGAAGCTCTGGCCACAATGGAGGCTCTAGGGCGGGTAAGCCAAACACCGAGAGTTGATAACAGTGGGATTCCCAGCATGGGGAAGGTGTTCAAGGCATCAGGGGAGAGGTACCGTAAGGTACCACCCATAGGTACCAGAACTGTGAGGAGGGAGGGGAAACTACCCACAGGAGCCTTCGCCGGCTTCAACCCCCTTGACTTCCAGACACTCACACAACTGTTCTGGCCCCTCGAGTCTGATTCAGGAGGGCACAGACCACAGAGCAGCCTGGAAAAACAGGCACCTGAGCTGGTGGCTGCTACAGGATCTGGGAGAGAGGAAGAGGAGGGTGGTAGAGGAAGGACAGAGGGAGGGAGATACTGAGAAAGGAGATAAGGCGATTTTGGAGAAAAAGGAGTTAGAAGTTGTGAGGATGATTAATCTGATGACCATATGGCCATTTTCTTGAGGACCACACCTGTGAACAGTTAACATCCCTTTACTTAGACATCCCTGACCTTTTCACGCCAGGGTGTGCTCCCGTCAGCCAGGAATCTAAAGATGAGTCCTCAGGGCTTGTCAACTCATGGGGCAGCTAAACTCAAGAGTCTCCCAAGTCCACCCGAGGGCCCAAGGGTTATGGCTATTAGAACCCTACATTCTTCCAGAGTGAAGCTGGCGAGGCTATGTGCCCTCGGAGTCTGTAGGAGGTGAGGTAGCAACAATAAACATGCCCATTCTGCAAAGAGGTGGAAAGGGCTTTAGAAACCATTGCTGCAACTCGACTTACATTATTAACAATGGTTACATCTGCTCCCGCTTCCAGTAAGATTTTAACCACCTTCTTATGGTTTAGGGAAGCAGCAACATGAAGCGCTGTGTCTCCAGCCTGAAATTAATCAGAAGAAAGTTTGCTAAACCCCATCTGATCATGGCCCACAGCCCTCCAGCTTTTCATCCCATGCCCTGCTGGTGGCTTTTCAAAGTCAATCTACGATGTGACTGGGGCGGGGGGGGGAGCCTTTGCTCAAGTGTTATGTGGATCTCTCTAAAGTTCGTTGAACTTGCACTGGCTGGTTTGGCTCAGTGGATAGAGTGTCGGCCTGCGGACTGAAGGGTCCTGGGTTCGATTCCGGTCAAGGGCATGTACCTTTCCCGGGTTCGATTCCGGTCAAGGGCATGTACCTTGGTTGCGGGCACATCCCCAGTGGGGGGTGTGCAGGAGGCAGCTGATCGATGTTTCTCTCTCATGGATGTTTCTATCTCTCTATCCCACTCCCTTCCTCTCTGTAAAAAATCAATAAAATATAAAGTTCGTTGAACTAAATGAGCTATGCACAATTATCACATTCCTTTTTGACTGGAGATGCCAGAAATCACAGGTAAAGTAATGCTGGGCTGGGTTGTTGAGAATGGTCAGACCTGGATCCTACACTAAGGCAAGATGGCAGGTAGCCAGGGGCCGGCAGGGGGCCATCCTGGAGCTCTGGGCCATGTCCCACTGCCCAGGGGAGAGAACAGAGAACCCTTGGTTCCTGAGTGCTAGAATGAGGATGTGCGGGGCCGCTGGGAATCACTTGCAGGCTCACGGTGCTCTTTGCTGAGAACCAGTGTTCACTGAATACCAGCTGTTTCAAATTTCTCACCAAATAGCCTATAAGTTCATATTTTCTTTACAAAAGAAAAAAATGTTCTCAGACAATCAACTATGAAAGGAGGATTTGGACAAACGCAGCATGGTGAGTCATTCTAAATGCAGATGCTGGTGTTTTTTAACTCCAGACAGAATAATATAAATAAGCCAGTCAAACGTGGGAGAAGTAGAATAATTCGTTCTCCACCATCAGGTGATCAGGTAGAGCACTCTGATACGTTTTTCCTGACAGCATGAACATTCAGTCGCCCCATGGCCTTCTTCCCCAGTGTGTGCCGGGGGACTTATTTCATTGCTGAGTCACTTAGCTGTGTGCTGGGGGTGGGGAGCTGTGTAGCCTTGGTTTCTAATCTTGGCTGCTCACTGGAATCAGGCGGGGAGCTTTAAAAACTACCGATGCCTGGGTCCCGCCCCAGACATTCTAGTGGGAGGTCTGGGCGAGGCAGGGGTGTTGGGCCTGGTGATTGTTCAAAGCTCCCAGGTGACTGCAACACGCACCGTGGCTGAGAAGCACTGGTTAGTGGGGGCTGTGTAGGGTAATCTGATGAACCAGAATCTTCTGGGAGGCTGTAGAATGATGACTTGGCTATTGAGCCAGGTCAGTGGTCTCAATCCTATCTGCACACCCAGGCCAGGAGCTCTTTAAAAATCCCATTACCTGGATATTCTGGACATTTAAGCTGGGGTGGAATTCAGCATTGGTGTTTTTAATTCCTGCTGATTCTTATGTGCAGCCAGGGTTAGAAACCACCACAACTGGGTATATTCAATCTGAATAACGATCTATGTTTTAAATTTCAGATATATGTACCCAAACTCAGAAAAGCCAAACAATGCATCGCTCACGTATCAATAAATATCAATTGTTTAAAAACAATCTAAATAACTACTGAAAGTCAAGCACATTTCCAGGAACACTGTAATAATCACAGCTTTATTTCAAAACCCCCTTGTATGGCACAGAGATAGGTCATGTGCCCAAATTCACAGAAACCAGCCGCTCCAGCAGCTCAGTAACGTGGCAGCGCAAGGAACAGAACTCGAGTCGCGAGATGCCTTTCCCTTGCGTATGACTGAGCCACATTCTTGCCGGTTTCCTTTGTAAAATCACATTAAAAACAAAACCCCACCCCGGGATCTCCAGGGGATGTTCAATATGCAAATGTGGTGGTATGCACTGGGATGATAAGGAGGCCAGATACACCAGGGCCACTGGAAGGCCAGCACTGGCCGAGTGCCAGGCAGAGAGAGGCTCCCAGCAGCTTCTGCTCCCGTCTGGGCTCATACACCTGTCAGTGAGCCTTGTGGGAAGGGGGCCGGGCAGCCATGGGGAAGGCACATGCACTGACCTGGTTCTTTTCATGGACAGAACAGAAAGCACTGAGGAGGAGCTTAATGATGGACAAGTGATTATAGCGTGCGGCAACGTGCAAACAGGTGTCGCCTGCCTGCGGACAGAAATCACACTCTAAGCACGGTCTGAGTGGTTACAAAACAAGACAGAGAAAGTAAAAAGGAAGAGCATTTAAAAGCTGGCAGACTAGCGTATATTCTTTAGAGGGCGTCGGCCTGACTGATAAGCATCTCTTTCACCCATGGAGGCTCCACTCCGGGACTCCCAGCCCCTTGCTGCTGTCTGCAGCCCTGCTGATCTTCCTCCACACACTTCTCTGCTCTCAGGTTTCAGACGCTGGGTGCATGCTCCCCATGAGACCTCCTCAATAGCCAAGACAGCTTCTTCTTACCCAGCACCTGATAAGAATCCACTGACCCCACCGTCTCCTAGAACCCAGACTCAGGAGTACACGGAATGAAGACCATGAGCACTGCTTTGGGAATGAGCCTTCCCCTTCATAGACCTGTCATGGCTCAAGGACAGGGCAGCAGGGCAAGTGGCTGGATTTTAAGATCACACGTGTTCTAAAAAATTCAAGCACCATCCCATTTTAGTCGGACCCCAATATCCCACATGGAGCAGTGCAGTCTGGGGAGCTGGCACGGCATAAAGAGAGGAGCCAGAAAGACTCAGGGTCAGGGTTTTCCTTAGTGGTCACAGGCCAAGCTGCCCCCAAAGACGACAAAACTGGAGACAAAGTCCTGACAGTCTGCGGCATTCTCCTCACATTCTATTCCAGTGCTGTCTAGCGATGGCGACCATTCAGCGTAGCTTTCTCCCCAGATTAAGAAGGAGCCAAGCTCACAGCCGAGGTGCGGGGCATTCTGAGAAGCACCTTCGATGCGTCTGCCCCCAGCTAAGGCCATTTCTTAAAGAGATGCCGCAGTCAGGTTCCCTCGTCGAGTGGCTGGGGCCTGGGACTCAGAAAGGAAAGGCAGCTCCTTGCGGAGAGAGGGACACCAGGTGACCTCTCAGGCCGGCATCCTCTCAGGCTACTGACCACCAGCTCATTCCCAGGATGCCTCTCACTGGTTTGTAGACGCTGGGCATGTAGCATCAGGAGACCTCCCCTGCACACATCATCCAGTGTTTGCTAACAGTAAGCACTGTGGGCAGAGACCTTCTTAAGACACTTAGCAGTTTCCTAGATTCATTCACCAGCACACACTATAGGAAATGATAAAACAAATCGAGGTCGAGGAGTGAGGGGAAAAGGATGGGGAAGAAGGAGTGTTTCCAAGTCTCCTGATTCCTCCTCTCATGCTCCTAAATGACCCTTTAGGAAATCACCCAAAAAATGAATGCTTTATAGATAGCCCCCAGACACTTTTCATTTTTATTTTCTAGGTGTTAACACTCAAGAATGCTTTCAGGGTTGTTTTCTAAGGTGACTGACACAGCGAGCAGGACAGAAGCCGGTGTTGTTCACCCACGTTATTTTTGAGGTCGGCGCGGGACCCGCCCAGCAGGAGGACGCGCGTGCTCTGGGAGTGGCTGTTCTGGCAGGCCAGGTGCAGGGCCGTGTTCCCCGCCTTGGAGAGAGGCAAGAGAAGGGAGGACACGTTAGCAACTCGGTTCTCCGCAGCCCCGCACGGAGCAGACCTTACAGAGGGGCGACACAGAAGAAAAGTCAGAGCTCACATTCGCTGCTTCCTAACGGGCAGACCCAGAAGGGGTTTCAGTGGCAAGAATGTTTAATTAGGAACCCAAACAGGAAGAGAGAGAGAGTCACATCTGTCATAAAACCGTGGTTCCAAGGCCTGGCTCTGCCTCTTACAGGTTGACAGGCACTGGTCAAGGCTCTTAATAGCCTCAGCCTTGAATTCCTTACCTGTAAAATGCAGCGTGACCCGTTATGCTGAGGCTGTGAGGATGGACTCAGGGCCCAGGAGGGGATTTCCTTAACGGTAAAATGCTGTGCACATGCCTGTGGTATGTTCCTTTTAGAGAAGACTGCAACACGGATAAAAGCTGTGGCTACAACACTGCCAATGAAGGCAGAGAGGGCAAAACAGGCCACCTCCTACGTGCAGGCTAACGGTATCTAAGATTATACTGTAGCCTTTTTCAAATCGTCCATTCTCGTACTTTTCTTGAAACAAAATTTGAACTATGGAAAAGATCCCCACGTAACAGGCAACACCACTGCGCCTGTCACTTAGCATACGGATAGGGCCCCTCTACCTTCAACATGCCACATCGCAATGACAGCCCAGGTCAGAACGATGCCCCCGCGACCTGGCAGAAAGAAGTCACAAACAGAACTCTGTGAGGCTATGGGAGTAGGGCCTGTAAGGCTGCTGCTACCCCTAGAAAAGTAACCAAATAAGCAGGCAGCGAGGGGAGAGCTCTGGGGGTGGTCTGAGCGAGCCCTGGAGCGCTCAGGGGGTTAAAGACATAGTGTCTGTCCTGCCGAGCTTACAAGCCGGGTCGGGCTGCAGCTGTGTGGCCTCTACGCTTCTACCCTGCCTGTTGATGGCTCTTCCCTCACCTAGTTCACTCCTTCTGGACCACAGTGCACTGCCTGCCCACACTCAGGAATGTTATTTCCTTACCTTTTGGAAAGAGAAATGAGTCATTACAAATAAAAAAAGAACAGAGGAAAACTGCTGCCAGTTCACTTACCTTCCCTCTCCTAACCTCACCTCTAACCGCCCAGGTAGGCTTTCTTCCTCACTGTTGCCTCCAGGAAACCGGAGGAGTTGACAGCCTGAGGGTTTACTGAGCATAATGGCCATCAACCCTTTGCTGCCCATATGAATCCCCTGGCAGCCGGCACAAATGCTGCACAGCTGCAGGTCTAGGGACTCTGATTTACTCCGCCTGGGGGTGGAGCCTGGCGCTCAGGTTTTAGCACTGAAAGCCAAGCATTCTGGGAAACCCCTCAGCAGGGCAAATGGGGACAGCTGGTCACCCAGGCCCCGCCATCAGGGTCGATTCACTTTTTTATTTTTTGTGGTTGTTTTTTCTTTCCCCCCTTTTTTTGTTTAAAGTTTCCCAGGAGAGCTTAAAGTGCAGCCAGGTAGAGAAACATTGCTGGCTTAGGTCTCAAACACGAAGGCTCTGCCCACATTTTAAATACTCCATTTCATGCAAGGGGCTCAGTGCTTGGCTTGACATGATTCCCATTGCCCACATAGGTTGTCTCAACATCGCTGGCTTCCTGAGAGTCATTAAATGTGCTGAACAAATGAGTGAAATAAAAGAATCTGATGGTGCTAGAAATACATCAGACCAACATTTATTTTGCCAGTGAGAAAATATCAATTATGCTGAAAAGCATTTGGATCAAGAAAACGAAAAGCCATGGGTAAGCATAAACAAAATATGGTACATTCATGCAATGGAATATTGCTCAGCAATCAAAACGAATGCACTAATCACCCATGTAAGCACACGTTAGAGTCTTAAAAACATTATGCTAAGTGAGAAAAGCCAGGCACAAAGGCTGAGTATCGTGATTCCATTTAGATCATCTTCTGTGAAAGGCAAACAAATTGGTGGTAGCCAGGAGCTGGGAGGGGGTGGGTGAATGGGGGATTGTCACTAAAGTGGACAAAGGAACTTTTGGGGGTGATTCTCTACCTTGATTGTGGTGGTGGTTACACAACTGTACACATTTATCTAAATTCATAGGACAGCACACCTAAGAAAGATGAACTTTACTGTATATGAATTATACCTCAAAACCTACTATTTAAAAATGTGACCCAGGAGACATACTGTCAGACATTTTCCCACTCTAAGGAATAAGACAGATCCCCCAGTCAGGGCTGCGAAGCTCGCTGAGTAAGAAGCACACTTCTTATGCAATGGAATATGATTCTGTCTTTAAAAAGAAAAACCCTGTTATTTGTGACAACATGGATGAACCTAGAGGACCTTATGCTAAGTGAAATAAGCCAGGCAGAAAAGGACAAATACTACATGGTATCACTATATGTGGAATTTAAAAAAGAAAAAGTCAAACTCAGAGGAACAAAGAGTAGAAGAGTGGTGGCCAGGAGCAGGGGGAATAGGGCAACGTTGGTAAAAGGGTACACACTTTTAGTTATAAGATAAACAAGGTCTGAGGATCTAACGTAGAGCATGGTGACTATAATTGATAACACTGTATTGTATAACTGAAATTTACTAAGAGTAGAATCTGAGTGTTCTCACTAAATAAATAAATGTAAATATGTGAAGTGATGGATGTGTTAATAAACCTAACGGGAGGAATCCGTTCACAATGTATACACTTTAAATATGTTAAAGTTCACTTGTCAGTTATACCTCAATAAAGCTGGGGGGTGGGAGGGGGGAGAAGAGCCTTTCTAGAGGTTTCCCCAGAGGCTGTGGCTGGCGCAGAACGTACAAGTCCCTCTTTCGGAATGGCCCCTCACCTGCGCTTCCAACGGTCTCTGCCGTCTGACCTGGAGCGAGGCCCCGTGGTTTCCACGATAGTTAGGACAGGATGCAATGGGCAGAGCAGACAGACCCGGGCTAGGCTACGGCCCTGACTGACTCACAAATGAGTCATAAGTTTCAGTCCAGGACATACTGGTTTCCTCTTACGCTTCCTTATCCGTGAGCTGGAAACCACCTACTTCTCAGAGTTGGTATGAACTCACTCACTCACGTTTCAGACCCTGTATCAGTTCGGGGGAAGGGAGCAGCCACCTGCCTGCGGGGCAGCGAGCCGGGCATTACTGGAGACATGACGGTACATGGCTTGCTGCTTTCCCCCAAGCTTTTGACCCAGGAGGGAGCCATGAAAAACATTTAACCAGTAATGACAGCACAGAGCTGTGTGCAGTGCCTCGGGAGCACTGCAGGAAACAGCCCCATGGATCTTCCTTCGGGGGGTGGGGACCTGTGCTGGGGAAGGGGTGGGGGCCTACAGGTGGAAACGAGGAGCAGGCTACCCCAATGGGAGTGGGCCACCAGAGGGGACAGTGAGCCAAGCTGAGCACAGGAGGCACATGCGGGGAAAGGCACAGGGAAGAGGCTCCAGACGTGAGCGGAGGCCACTCTGGGGAGGCCCGAGACAGCGTCCGGCGGAGGAGCTTTCCCGCAAGGTTTCCGGGCAGCAGGCAGTAGGGCTAGGCCAGCTGATAAGGCTGCTGGGAGGCCTCTGAAATCCAGGGACACATCAGTCATGAGCATGGAAGGAGGGGTGGAGTGAAAAGGGTGAGACGTGGTGAGTGACTGGAGGGGGAGACAGAGGAAAAGAGGATGGAGAATGCTGCTGTCCTCTCCTGCCTCCATGAGGACAACCGCAGGCGGATAAACCAACGGCTAAGCAGTGAGAGCCAGGGGAGGTCAGAGGAAGCCAAAGGCCCCAGGGGTTCTCTTGCTCACCAGGCAGACTCTACTCTCCACGGGGCTTCGGGCTTCCACTTCCCTGCCGGTTCCTGCTCCCCTGGGCGCTCTCTGCTCTGGGAGGAGGAACCTGCGGCCATCCTCACCTGTGAATGAGTTCTAGCACCTGCCGGGCCTCACCTTGTTCTTGGCGAGCACGTTGGCTCCTGCTTTAACAAGCAGCTTGACTGACTGGCTGAACCCGTGCCAGGATGCTTCGTGCAGGGCCGTGTTCCCGTCCTGAGGAACACAGAGAGAGAGAGCACGTCACCACAGCCTCATTCGCCTCGGTAAAGTCCATACATCAGAGTGAGTTTTCAGGGCACCCCACAGGCCTTCCCACTGGGGTTTCTCATGGGAATCACAGAGCCCAGAAAATGAGGCGAGTGGCTAGTTCCTCCATTCTCCCAGAAACGGCACATAACAAGGACCATTCTAGATGCATTCTAGACTTGTGATGTACAATGGATGCCTTAGGCGTCGGGGCTTAAGTGTCTTCGGGAACCCCTGTTGAGAAAGGCAGTCGCGTTGAACAGAACGCAACACCAGGACTAATGTCCATTCCTTCCCACCTCCATCACCCCTTGGGCTCTGCTCTGCTCCTGGCCCCAGAGAGAATCCTGCAAAGATCAGGCAAATACAGAGTCCAGCTTCATGAATTCCAGGGCCCAAGAACCAGATAGGTAGATTACGCCTTCCTTTTTCTTCCCCAAATTCTAATTTTACCCAACTTAATCCAGAAGCCTCAGGGCCCCAAAGAACTGAGCAGGCACTGTGAAAACAGTGATTTGTGAAAAAGATAAATAAATGTCTCACATAGGCAGCTTTTAAATAAAAACCAACCGATTAAAGATAGCTTGCATTTGCTTAACATATATATATATTTAGTGCAATGAACTGAGTGGGGTGGGGTGGGGTGGGGTGTGGAGGGTGGGGCTGGGGAGGGGGAAGCATGGAGAGGAGCAGCAGAAACACCCTCTGCGCTGTTCCAGGCCAGGGCTCGGGCAGTCAGCTGGGGGCGGGGCAGGTGCACTCCCCAGTCGTGTCCAGGGTCTGGTTTAGCCTTTCAGCCACACCAACAGACAAGGCGGAAAGCTGCCGACACTCACAGGGGAAGGCCAGGGAGTGGGGCCTGTGGAAAGGGAAGTGGTGATGTGTGGCCTGGCCAGTGGGACTGACTGCACGAAGCAGGAGGCAAAGGGAAAGTGACTGGAGGGGGGCCCGGGCTGCTGGTGACGATCCGCTCTGTGACCTGAGGGGCACGCAGGTGTGCTCAGGTAGCAGAAACTCACGGAGCTGCACTTAGTATTTGTGCATGTTTCGGTATATACACTTGAGTAAAAAGGTGTTTAAAAAGTAAACAGGATGAATTGCTCTACATTGGAAAGTTCCATGTTTTAAGGTTGCTTGACAATTTAAGAACACTGTATTAATATATGTCATTGGGATTTATTAAAAAATTTTATTTTGCTTATTTTTTTCTTCCAATATTGTTTTAAAAATTAACAAGCTCACTTATCAAAAAAAGAGAGAGCAGGAGGAGGAGGAGGAGGAGAAGAAGATGAAAACAGTTGGGGGTGGGAGAAGCACGGCACATGCCTTTCCCCATTTACGCCTCCACATGTCATTACTTCTAAACTTTTTTGGGGGGGGTAGGGGAACCATTTATGTTTATGTGGTTGCCCACTGCTGCCATAAAACAGGGGGAAGATTAAAAAATAAATTTAGCCTGGCCAGTGTGGCTCAGTTGGTTGGGTGTCATCCCAAGCACCAAAAGGTTGTTGGTCTGATTCCTGGTCAGGACACAGGCCCAGGTTGCTGCCTTGATCCCTGGTGTGGGGCGTGTAGGAGGCAGCCAATTGATGTTTCACTCTCACATCGATGTTTCTCTCTCTCCCCCTCTTCCTTCCTCTCTCCCTAAAAATCAATAAAAAATATATATTTTTTTCAAAATAAATAAATTAAAAATGTTTTTCATTTACTGGAATATCAGATATTCTTTCTAAGTACATTTGGGCTGGTTCCATCATACTAAATCCTGAGGGATAAGCCTCAGGAATGATAACATCTTGCGTGCGGGTCCTCAGGCTGGCACGTCCCACCTCACCTTGTCTTGTCGGTCCAGGGCACAGCCCTCCTGGGTGAGCGCCGAGATGACCTCAGTGTTCCCCACCACGGCTGCGCGGTGCAAGGCGGTCTGATCCCCCTGCAGGACGACATGGAGGCAGGAAGAGGGGTCAGCTCTCCCAGCACCCACTCCACTCCCTCCGACACAGGGCACCTCCCACACAAAGCAAACCGGTTACCACCACGGGCAAGGTGGGCTTTGCGGTCGGGTTAGTAGACAACACGCGGCAGGCGGAGCAATTTTATTCAGTGGGAACGTTAAGCCAACCGCAGAACGGTCCCTGGCTGCAGAGCTAACCTCAGAAAGAAGGTCCAGCCCTCACCTGCTGCCCCGGGGTATGGCAGTGCTCAGCTGGGCTGTAGCTGTCACACCTGTGAAGAGTGGGTCTGAGAGCACGGCTGTGTGTGCTATGCAATTAGGGCAGCGATGCCGGGAATCTTTACTCCCTACTGCAGCGGTTCTCAACCTGTGGGTCGCGACCCCTTTGGCGGTCGAACAACCCTTTCACAGGGGTCGCCTAAGACCATCCTGCATATCAGATATTTACATTGCGATTCATAACAGTAGCAACATTACAGTTATGAAGTAGCAATGAAAATAATTTTATGGTTGGGTCACAACATGAGGAACTGTATTTAAAGGGCCAGAAGGTTGAGAACCACTGCCCTACTGAGTCCTCTAGCTCCCTGCTTCCAGAGAAATCGCCATCCTGCCATGCCAGTTAGCAGCACTCATGATCTGATGGTGGGTGTGTATTTGCTGACTGACTAGTACTGGCCACGAGCAATGGCGGGGTTTATGCTGTGTCATCGCAGGATTCCAGAGATGCCAAGCCATCACTGCACATCTCGACCAAGCTTCTTCCGATCTTTCCTGACAACACCCTCGCTGATTTACGCTGTATTTGACCCCTTTCTCTGGGATCAGATTCCTGAAATTGCAGACCTCCTCTTTCTCTATCAGGGCGCCAAAAGGAACTTGACTCTTTCTAATCGCAGCTGGGAAAAGGAATATATGCTCGTAGAGCAGCGGTTCTCAACCTTGGCTGCACATTAGAATCACCTGGGAATCTTTTAAAATCCTGATTTCTGGGCCTCATCCTCCGGAAATTCTGTTTCTTTGTTATGGGGTGGAGGCACCACATTAGGTAACAAAGAAACAGAAATTCGGGAGGATGAGGCCCAGA